ATAGCCGGTCGAATTTTTCACACATTCGTTCAGATAAGAAGTAGAAATATTCAGGGTCTCAGCGTAACCTGAGGCTGTCTTGGCAGTGGTAAAGTTTTGTTCTAAAAGGGATTTAAAAGCCCTGGTGACCAGCTCATACCTTGACAGGTTATGGCCTGATCTGGTTTGGTCCAAAAACTGGGAAGCAATAAGCGCCACCAGCGTATTACAACTATCTTTTAGCAGGAGACGATAAAGCCGATCGTGCTTTCTTTCCGAGATTTTAATGCAGAGTGATACCGCATCAGAAATAAGCGAAAATATATCCTCTTTTAACGGCAGTGGTGGTGTTAGTTTAATATCTTCCAGCAGCTTGAGGTATTCAGGTTTAAGATCTTCATTGCTGATCGCCAGGTAACTGGCTGTAACACATTTCGGCTCGCCCCTCATACGATGTACCTGATTGGGATGCATGTAAGAAACCGAGAACGGTTCTATGGTATATTGCTGAAAATCGATTTCAATGGAAATAGTTCCGCTTTCCTGCAGGAAGAATATATGATAGTCGTCCCGGTGCGATACCCTTGCTTTATCGAATGAAAGCAGATCAGCCGCGGCCAAATTACTTAGATCATCAACAGAAGCCCTTCCAATAGCAATGTCGGTGCCGAATACATCGGCCATATTATTTACCGGAATAGATTTGTTTTTTTTAGGCATTGGCTCCAATTCGCCATAAAAATAATCTTTGCGACTTAACGGATGAACATGCCTTCAGCATGATGCCTTATGTATTTTTAATATCGCTTTCAATGAAAATTAAGCCTGGCCTACAATTGTTCCTGCAAGCATTGTAATAGGAATTGAAGATAAGTTGAGCCATGGCTTAGAGAATTGACTGGCCTTTTGCATATGCTCGTTGATGGTGGCCCCTTCCTGCCCTGGTTGCGGAACGTGTTAAAGACCGGGGAGACATACACTTCGTTATTGTTCTGCTGATCATCTTCACTGATTCAGCTAAAATTCCGTGCTTAAAAAATCTCACCGTAATCCATTCTAACAGCTGTTCATTTATAGGTTATTGTTTATTTCGCCAGACTGTAAATCACTTCCCCCATACCTATTTCACTTTTAACCAGTACCCCATCCTGGCAAGCCTGATTCAATCGCCTTGATAGGTAAGCCCGGATATTGATAATTTGTATCGGGATAACATCCTCGCTACTAAGCGCTATCGCCTCCATAACTTCACTCAAATTCATTGGATGCCCTACTCTGCTGAATAAGATGCTGAAGTAGTCGGAATTCAGATCCCGGCGTCCTGGCAAATCTATTCTATCCGCCAGTTTAGACAATTTGGTGACTAGCTGATACAGTGTATTCTGACAAGCAGCAATGTCACTGCACAGATCTTTGGTCTTTTTAAGCTCTTTCTTAAACAATGCAAGCTCTTTTGCGCTCACTTTTTTTTGCAACAAATATTTGTCCATATCAGCCATTCTTGCTGTTGATTAAAAATCTGTTTTCGTTATGGTCCTCTTTATTGATAATAATTGCCAGAGTGTTGATGCGACTATGCATCAATACTCTGGCAATCGTTAAACGGGTTAGTTCAGCAACAATCTTACCTGTTCATTAATATCTGCTCCCTGTATATAGACCACGTATACTCCCGCGGCCAGGCTATTCAGTGTGAGCTTCTGTGATGTGACACCTTCAGCAATGGTTCCCTGATAAAGCAGGCCGCCAACTGCATTGATCACACGCACGGTTGCCGGTGAAGAAAGCGCATGTGCAAATTGAACCAGCACATCCCCTTTAGACGGGTTCGGCATAATCGTTACGGTGTTCGTGATCACTCCGAAAACCAATGAGCGAACATAACTTACC